ATTTTGGATTAAGAGGCCGTCTGCCTCATTTTATATCCCAGTTTTTAACAGACAGGCAATTTCAAGTCCGAGTGGGTACAACCCTGTCTGATCATTATAATCAGGATCAGGGTGTCCCACAAGGCAGTATTTTGTCTGTCACTTTATTCAGTATAAAAATTAACAGTTTGTCAAAAGTTTTAAATGATTCAGTTGATGGATCGCTTTTTGTGGATGATTTTAATCTATCTTGCCGTGGTAAAAATATGCACACAATTGAAAGGCAATTACAATTATGTCTTAATAAAATTAACAAGTGGTGTCTAGAAAACGGGTTTAAATTTTCCAAATCAAAAACTAATTGCATACATTTCTGCCGAAAATATAAGCCGCATAAGGACCCTGAACTATTTCTGAATGGCACCCCTATCAAAGTTGTTAAGGAAGCCAAGTTCTTGGGACTTATTTTTGATCATCACTTAACTTTCCTCCCGCATATTAAATACCTAAAAGCTAAATGCCTGAAGGCACTTGATTTGTTAAAAGTCGTTTCTAATTCGAAGTGGGGAGGGGATCAGACAACACTATTGCACTTGTACAGGTCCCTGATTCGTTCAAAACTTGACTACGGCTCCATCGTCTATGGTGGAGCCTGCAAAAGTAATTTACAAAAACTCGATACCATCCATCATCAAGGCCTGAGGCTTTGCCTTGGAGCTTTTAGAACGTCTCCCATTCACAGTCTCTATATAGAAGCAGATGAACCTTCTCTTAAACAACGCCGTCTAAAATTATCTTTACAATATGTCACTAAATTATATTCTAATCAGTCCAATCCAGCTTTTAATTGCGTCTTCAATCCTCTTTACCAAGATATTTACAATAAAAAGTCATCTCTTGTTCCACCACTCGGAATCAGAATCCAGTCTGCCTTGTTTGCTTCCAATATTAAACTGCAAGATATAGCTCCTACTCAACTGTTTTCAACACCTCCTTGGCAAATGGTACGGCCAGAGGTTGACCTTACATTAACAAAATTAAAGAAATCAGATACTAACCAATTAATTTACCAACAAGAATACCACCAACTTAGAAACAATTATGACACTTATAAATCTATATTTACAGATGGATCCAAGGATGGTGGCGCAGTTGCTAGTGCCACTGTCATTGGATCCAGAACAATATCTTCACGTTTACCTGATAACAGTTCCATATTCACTGCAGAAGCAAACGCCATTTTTACAGCACTTAAATATGTCAGTCGTCAATCTAAACATAAAGAATTCATTATTTTTTCTGATTCACTTTCATGCCTTCAGGCGATTAAAAATATGTCACCCAAACATCCACTTTTAATCCAGATTCTCGAATTAATTAATAATCTTGCGACTGGCCAGTACGACATCGTCTTTTGTTGGTTACCAAGCCACGTTGGAATTATTGGTAACACAATGGCCGATGCTGCTGCTAAAGCAGCACTCAACAAATCTGTGACACCACTTCTGATCCCATACACTGATTTTAAACCCATGATTCGATCTTACATCCGAGATCTTATGCAACAGAAGTGGGACGCCCAAGTAGGTATCAATAAATTACATGAAATTAAACCAAATATCGGTTACACCTACTTGGGCTGTCAGTCCAGATTTGAAGAGGTTATTATGCGACGATGTCGTATTGGCCATTCAAGATATACACATGAGTATCTTTTAAATGGTGAGGATCCTCCGTTTTGTATCCCTTGTGATGAAAGAATCACGGTCAAGCATGTCCTGCTTGATTGTATTGATTTTTCCATCACAAGGGATAAATATTTCAATGTTAAAACAATTAAGGACCTTTTTAATGATGTTAATTCTCGTTTACTGTTATGTTTTTTAAAAGAAATAGAGCTTTTTCATAAATTTTGATGTGCTAACTGTATTGTTTTTAAAATTGGTAGTGCAATTTTATAACTTAGATTGTTAGTGGCTATACCCTCGAGGGGGGTTGAAGTAGCGTAAAATTATTGTCCCCCTAAGAGGGTATGTAAGTCCCATTTCATTCCAGGTATTTTTCTGCATACCAGGCTTTTAAACGTAGTATATTCGTTATTTTAATCTAAGGCTTAACTGATACACTGTCGTCAGTGACTGAAGGGATGATATAAATCCTGCCGGGGTCCGTGCAGGAAGCTAAGGTACTGTAAGTCCCCATGGTCCCCAGTATGGTGATCTCCTTTCAGTGGCTGACGATTTCTAGCCCATTTTTATATTGTGATGTTCATTACTGCTTACTGTTTTTATTATTCACAACTAGTTTTAAATCAAGTCTGTGATATTCTAGTTATTCTACTGTCCTTCGTCGACAGGTTTTTATTTCGTATAATTATGTGTATTATTAATGTTCTTCTCGTCACGATATGGCTGAAATACTGCCGATGTGACGTTAAATCTTACCTCACTCACTCACTCACTCAGGCAGTGGGACTCACTCACTGTCAAAGATGGCCTTCTCCACAGGCAACAACTTTCAGATGGTGTAGTACCCTACTATCAATTGATTGTTCCTCAGTCTAAAAGAGATGAGGTCATTACCCATCTACATGACGGCATGGGACATCTTGGTAGGGACAGGACCGTGGCTCTTCTCCGGACACGGTTTTACTGGCCGGGAATGATCACGGATGTGGAGAAAAGGATTCGCTGCTGCCAGAGGTGTATACTTCGTAAAGCTCCTAACCAAACTGAGCGTGCACCATTAGTTAGCATCCAAACCACTCAACCTATGGAGTTGGTGTGCATGGACTATCTCAGCTTGGAGCCCTCCTCTGGTGGTTATGAGAATATCCTGGTCATTACGGACCATTTCACCAAATATGCTGTTGCCATTCCCACTCGCAACCAAACGGCACGTACTACAGCCAAAGTACTGTTTGATCACTTCATTGTTCACTATGGCATTCCAGAGAAGTTGCACTCTGATCAAGGCCGGAACTTTGAGAGTGATATCATCAAACAGCTGTGCAGCATATTGGGTATTCTCAAAACGCGGACCACTCCGTATCATCCAATGGGAAATGGTCTATGTGAGCGGTTTAATCGGACGCTCTTAGGGATGCTCGGCACTCTGGAGGAGCAGCAAAAGGCAAAGTGGAAAGATCACCTTTCTCACTTAGTTCATGCCTATAACTGTTCCCTCCATGAGTCAACGGGGTTCACTCCCTACTTCCTCATGTTTGGCAGACAACCTAGGCTGCCTGTTGACGCTGCTTTTGGTACATCACTGGCCAATATTTCATCACCAGCTTATACGCAGTTTGCTGCTGATCTAGAGCGCAAATTACACACTGCATATGAGCTTGCAGCTGCAAACTTGAAAGGGCTCGGGCTAAACAACGCAAAGCCTATAATCTTAAGGCACGTGGAGCCACAATCAAGGTTGGTGACGTATTGGTGCGTAATGTCAACATACGTGGGAAGCAAAAACTGGCTAACCGGTGGGAAGAGGAGTATTACGTGGTTGATTCTCAACCTCATGCCGACATTCCTGTGTTTAAAGTTCATAAGGAAGGAACCAGAGAATGTCGTGTACTCCACCGCAATCTACTCCTTCCCATTGGTACGAATGGTCAGCCCATACCCAGGCCACGGCGCACACCATCGACATCGACGACGACGACTACTACTACTACTTCAACACCATCTTCTGGCGAGCTTAAGGACACAAGTACTGACACAACACTGGAGATCTCAACAACCAACATGGATATTGAGAGTTCTCCTTCTCCATTGTCGGTATCATCCCCAGCGTCAGCACTGCCACCAATCAGCCCGCCATTTGCAAGTGTGTCACCAGTAGTTTCACCATCCACACCAGCACCAACTGCACCAACCAGTTCTATCCCTGGCTCAGGACCGTCAACTCCACAGCCACCACCTCGGCGAGTTGGACGAACCCGAACAAAGCCAAAGTGGATGACAGATGGGCAGTTTGTTGTAAAACAAAGTGTCTGGGTGTGAGGAGGTAATTATACACTGCCACTATTTAATGGCGAGGTCGCCATTTCCCAAAGTGGGGGTGTATGTAGCCGGGTGGTGGTGCTAACTCTGAATGAGTTATAGCCACATAAGTACCACCCACTTATAACCCCCTTAGATTAATTCTATACATATATACATACATGTTCATCTATTATCACCATCACTTCATTCTGTGTTCATTATATGTTCATCATATGTTGTCCTTGTCTGCAGTTGAATGTCAGCCAACTAACCCCAACCTTTTGCAGCCTCTGTAATTTCTCCAGCTTCACCTGGACTTCCCCCTATCTATTTTTAGATATGTCCACCACTTTATGTGACTGAAGCATCTTGACTTCCTTTAATATCTGTCAGATGCTACCTTTCTTTTGATTGGCCCTTTGGTCCACTTCTTTAACTTCCTTTCTCACCTGCCCTCCTCATGCATTCTGCATGAACTCTTTATGGAGGGAGGACTCTTGTTTACAGCTTCCCTCCCACCATCTACTACCAAAGAATAAATATCATCATCATCTTCAAGAACTGCCTCATGTTTTGACTAGCAGCCCAGTGGCTGGACACATGACACCACGCCCGGCTACAAAATGGCGCCCAACGTGGGGCTGCTAGTTTCATCAGCATCATCACTTGTACAGTGAGAAGAGGCAGTTCATCATTCATTAGATGGAATTCAACATAGAAGAGTTCATGCAGTTTCCAAGAACATCTTATACACTTGTGTGAATGAATAGTTCATTCATCATTGTTTCATGAAGTGTATGGACCTTTGAACTTTTTGTGTTTCACAAATTCAGGACATTGACTTTTGAGCCTGACTATCGAGACATTTGTGATCCACCTTGTATATTTCTATTTATCCTGTGATATATATTATATGTTTATCATGTTTATATTTGTTTGAAATTTATAATCCTATTGACTTTTACAGAGTATTGATTATATTATAGTACAAATTCTATTTCTACCACATTTCTATGTCATTTTTTTTTTTTTTAGTTCATATCTTATCATGAATCTTTTCTTCTTCGCCAACAGCAACCATCCGGGACAGCGTGTTCAAGACTAGATATCCGGAAGGATACAGTAAATGATGGTAAGCTTTTCTTATATTTACTCCACTTTTCTAAGGATGTCAAACCAAGTCATCAGGCCTGACCACCTGATCCAGTTAGTCACCTCTTACGAACAAGCAATTCTAACCAGAAATCCTCACGGGACACTTCATCTATTAGACCTAGTTAGTATCCTTAAAAATAAACAGTTTTAGAATCATCATTTTAAATACCATGTCAGTCTTCTAAAAACTACTAGAAAAAGTATTGTAGTTGTTCACACTATACTGTGAAAGTATTTTTTGTTTGCACTAGATCGGTTTGTCTTTGAGGCCTTAATGTCCCATTCCCTATTAGTATTTCGTGTAATTTTGCTACAACACCGAGGTTAATCAGTGAAGATTCAAATTAGAATTTATCTTCACCAACCCATGCTGGAGGTGACTAAAGGGATCAAATGGGCAGGCTTGCCGACTTGGTTGATGCGCGTCATTCTATCCCAACTGCGTCGAGCCATGGTCATGATGTCTATGAATGAATTGTCTTGCCCAGACTTGCTTATTTACACTTGCAGCCTGTCATCATATAGCTGAAATATTGCTGAGTGCGATGTTAAATAACAATCAAACAAAATCAGATACTGTGACCTGGTTACAAGAGGAAAGATTCTATGTAGAGCATATTTCGCTTTTCATATTTTAATATCAATCAATGTTTATTGATAGTCATCTCATCTCTTCAACTGACCTGATTTGCGCCACTTGAGAACACATCAAATGTTAAGGTCACAAGATGAGATGCACAATATTTGACAAGAAAAGACAAATGTTCTATTTATTTTGTTCTTTATTAGTAATTTTGATGGTTTATAGCCAGAACGCCATAGTGAGGCGTACTAAAAGTAGTTCTGAGAGCAGGTATTATTTCATTGAATGAAATTACATGTTAATACCTATTTTAGATTTTCAGATAAATATTTTATCACTAAATACATAATAAATATACTTATATATAGGTTATAAATGAACATGTTGCATGTAACCAGTACAGTAAGATTACACATAACTACACTTGGCGAGACTAATGAGTGGGTTGGTGATTGAGGATGGTTTTAGACATTGGATTCATGTGGAGCTTGTCTTTGGGGTGACGAGCAAATTTTTTAACCCCTAGACTACCCCATTGCCCCTCTAAGTTAGTTTAAGTTAAGGAAGTTTATCTGTTTATTTCACCGGTTTTCAGATAGATATATTAGGCTTACTCAATGAATCAGTGTCTATCACACAATGTGTTGTGAATATATAAGTTTACATTTGGTGAAAATAATGCTTTTCAGATTATTTTTTTCTGGTTGTAGAGTTGGATGAGCTCAGTGTTTTAATAACCTCGACTGTATTTTCACAAATATGTTTATGTCACATGCTGTCATGTGAAAGGTTGTTTAAGACAGGATGTTTGTGAGAAGTACTTGAGGTCTTTTTCTTGTTCAAACTCATGAATAAATAAGGCATTTAGAGAAAATGTTCAATACTAAAATGCAATTAGAAGTGTAGGGATTTATAGCTGCTAAGTGGAAGATAAGTTTTGCTTGTTTACCAATCCAGATTTCTTTTGAAATAAAAATGTTTGAACCAATCTGTTTTAATTTGGTGTCAGCCTCTGTTCCCTTTGGTAAGGGAATTTGGCAGATAATGGATCAATGTTTACATTTCATGATTAATTGTATCAGGTTTATGTGCATGTCCTTAAGTCCTTACCCCTATAGTTTTTGATGTAACTATATATCTCTTACTTGAATAATAGAAAATACACATTTGTTTCAAAGTGGAATTGAATGTGTCATTTAGGGCCAAATGCATTTTACTAAGTTTACAAAAAAAACATCCTTGAGCTTTACTAACTATGGGTTATTTCATTTTTGGTGGGTACTGCACATTCAACAGTGACATGTGTGTATTGTCTAAGTCTGCTCGTTTCATCTGTCTGGCTCCACTCTTAACGACATCAATTAAATATAATGATTAACTGTATATAAGCTGATAAAGTTGTCTGTTAAGATGTGTTTATTGTCAAAGTTTGCTTGTTTGCTTGTTTGCTTGGTAGGCTCTGCTCTAACAAGATCAGTCATAAAGCAGTCATGAGCAGTCATAAAGACACCTGGCTAAATTCCATGTTATTGTTCATTAGTTACACCTGATTGATTTTTATTGCCCAAATGAGGTGCTGCTTGTACATTTTCACCTAGTATTACATAGATGCTTATTTCCTTCTTATTATTAGTTACTGATTTTTTGTCAGCTTTTTTTCACATCCAATTCAGGTTATTGATTTGCCTTAAAAGTATGACAGTTATGATACATTTATGAAGTGCATGAACTTGTAAGTCACTGATCTTTTTAGTGATATCATTATGTAAGATACTTAAAAAAGTATAATAATACTGATATAATACAATACATACTTTTTAAGTTAAAATTTATATGGGCCAGTTTTTTGTGTAATACGTGTCTCATAAGATTTGTTGCACGAACTGCTTATAAGGAAATTATTTCTTGATTTACAGAACTTCCACCAGACAGCCCCTGGATTCCCTTGACAGAAAAACCTTGCAACGTTGATGCCTTTGCAGACACAATCAACATCGATAGCAAGGTAAAATATGTAAAACTTATTTAATAGATATTTATGCTGACCTAATTCAAAATATATCATTTTTAGTTTTAAAAAAATCAGTAAATGTGTTATCATTTCATAAGATTTTCTGGTCCATGACTTGATGGTCTGGTTTGTTTACAGGGTATGCTCACCCCTTTCCTGAATACTTGGTGTAATCACTGATTTTCAGTGATCTGTTCACAGAATTTTCATTGCTGTTTTAGATAAGTTGTGTCTGTTTCGTTGGATAATCAAGACTGGTATTTTCTGGCATTAACTTTTTATATTTACATGTTTCAATTGCAAAGCCACATACAACAAAAAAGATACCACAAACTACTAAACATTCAATGCATTTTGCTGATGCTTGCCAAACTGATTTCAGAATTCTGTTTTATGCAAGTTTTGTAAACGCAGTTTGGATGATGTATCATGATAAAGATAATCCTTTCTTGACCTTCGATATTTGCATCTCTATCAGCATATGACCCCAACGGATATAATTTTTATCCATTGGCTTTAATAGAAACCTACCCATTTTATGATAAATCTCAAATATCTCACGTTGTAAAATTTATAATAAACATGGCATACTTGCCAATTATGCAGCCAATTTTTACACCATTTTAAAGTATAATATGACATATGTAGTACCCAGGAAAAAGGAATACTATTTATATATACATGTAATCAGTAATGTATTGAGTTTTGATTGTTAGGTCTAACCTCGTGGGTTAGAATTGGTTCCCAAACTAAGCTGGTCTTGAGAGGCAATCAAATGGATTGGTCAGACACAGGTCATAGCCTGCTATCGTACCTATCAATCACTGTATTGTCTGGCCCAGACTTGATCATTTACATCCCAACGCCATCCATATACATAGTTGGAATATTAATATGTGCAGCATTAAAGAAAAATCAAAAAGAACCAAATCCCACGGTCTGTCATTTCAAATACTTCTGTAATCATGTGTTTTTCTTTGTTCAAAAGGAGGGATTCAGCGACAAGGAAGGGAAAACAAGTGAAGCAACAATGGGCCAAAGTGACAGAGACTTATCATTTACTGGTATGTTTATGTTTGTTATGTTTATACTGTTCTTCTAAACATCATTTTTGTTTGTGTTTTTTTGCATCCTTCCCTTTTTTCGGGCTGCAGTAAACAGTTGATTTTCTCAATGCACATCAGTCTATACTATGAACTATTTTGAACTACATTTGTAAATGGGAGACCTTTTAATAACAACAATGAGTTGAATGCTTATCAAATGTATATCTGACTTTAAATATGGCATCAGTCATCTACATTGTAATGACTTGTGATAAACTGAATATTGATGATGTTTGAAATCTTAAACATTGCTATTTTATTGTGTGTATATTGATACCTGTCATATGACTTGATGATTGTACATCTTGATGATTGAGAAAATTGAATTGTGATGAAAGAGATAGTTTCATGTAAACTGTGAGGCTGGCCTTGCTTCCTCTAAGCTCGGGGCGGTCGGGTAGCTTGGTGGTTAAAATGTTTGCTCGTCACGCCGAAGACTCGGGTTCAATTCCCGACATGGGTACGATGTGTGAAGCCCATTTCTGGTGTCCCAAGCCGTGAAATTGCTGGGGTATTGCTAAATGTGGCGTAAAACCATACTCACTCACAACTATAACAGGGATTATATTTGCTCATTACTAAGTCTTTTAGATGTATTATGTTTGTTTTGATGTGTATTGATATTCATGTACTTACATACGACATTAGTGAATTATCTCAACTTGCTTTGGGGCACCTAGTGGTTAAGGTATTTTTCTTTTCACATGGGGGCAGTAGGGTATTCAAATGGTTAAAGAGTTCTCTTGTTACACCGAAGACCAAGGTTCCATTCCCTGAAGCCAATTTTTGTTGTCCCCTGTCGTGATGTTGCAGGAATATTGCTTAAAGCTGTGTAAAACCATACTCATTCGCTGCTGTTCACATGGGTACAATGTGTAAAGCCCATTTGGGGTGTCCTCCCGCCATGACACTTATATAACTGTTTGCTGAAAGGGACATAAAACAGTACTCTACAACAGCCCCTCATACCCTTTGCATTATTTGTTAAGGGTGTCTACTTGCTCCCTTTGATCTGTGGCTATTGAAGAAATTAACAAATAAGGTCATGGTTTCATGTAGGGCAAAAGAGTACTGAAGACACTACTAGATTGTCATTCATTTCCAGTTAAGTCTTCGTTAGTAAGAGCAATGTGCAAAATGAAATGCAGGATAAATATTTCAAAATAGACAATCTTCTTGATTATGTAATTTTTCGTAATGTATGTTAGTACTGAACTAGAATGGAATTTTCTTTGCAGAGGCCGTACCGTTGTCAGTTGATGAAAGTTTTGTCCACACTGGAGACAATGAAAGCTTTGTAAGTAAACAATTTTGTTGTATTTTCTGCTTGTTTGTCTCTGCCATTTGTAGAACATGTACATGAAGTGATGTCATTACAGTTGAATTATCATTGTTCCCCTTTATGTTGCATAGAGGGCAGGTACTTAAAAACTGGTATGAGGGTGTAGTTCTCATACTTTTCACCAAACCAAATGGTATCACACTAATTTTAAGCGGAATGGAAAGGATTTCGGGGTTCATCTATATATATTGATGAGAGGACTGCCTCTGTTTTCACAAGTACTAGTAAACACTTTCCTAGTTGATTCAATGTTTGATATCTTTGTTGAATCGCAAAATGTATTTAAGCATGTCAACTCGAGGAATGATAATGATAATAACATTCCCATATAGCAGATTGTCAAAAGAACATTGTTCCTATCCAGCATCACAAGCTGCAACCAAAGTTTGTGCACGTAGCTAGTGTAACACATGGTTTCAGATGGGCTGTGTGACTTTTTGTTTCTGAAATCAATTAGACCAACCCACAAGTGTTTGGTTTTAATTTTAATAACGTTACTATTTGAGAAAACAGCCTGCAGTGTCAAGGATATTGGATAAAGAACCTGTCCAATTCATTTATCAAGAGTTTTATACTTTCAGTGTGTTATGACTCCCTACAATATACTAGGTGTCTCTATAATTTGGTCAGAATGCTCTAATAAATGTTGTGCAACAAGTAATGTGTTAGAGATGGGGTGTGTTAGAGGTGGGGTGTGTTCACAAAATAAATCATGCAAGTTATTTCAACAATATCAAAGCTATGGATATTTTTCAATAATGAGTCACTAAGAGATATTGATTATGTATTCATATTTATTTCTTGGAAATCGCTTCACGGTAATTTATCCTGGGCAATAAATTCTATCGGTTGTACAATCTATCATGTTCATATGAGCTTTAGAAAGAAAATAGAAACAGTACTTTATGGGTTCTTTAAACAGTTCTACCAACCGCGACACTACAGCATTTTGTCTTCAGTAGGAAAGTTCTTGCCCATTAAATTATTGTCGCGTTGAATCATTTGTGAATCACCAGTTTTACAATATGTAATAAATTGTTTCAGGAATGCGGATTTCAAAATGAAGACCATACAAGGGACCACCCAACAGAGCAGAGCATTCCACAGAAGGCACAAGACATTGTTAAATGGATTGTGACATCAGTTTTTTCAATTCAGTTGACACACAATATTAGCAATGCTGGCATTGTTAAGGTTCTGATCCTGATTGGGCAAATTTTGGCTCTGATGGCAACGATTCCTAAATTATTGTCGTCAGTTGCAAAGATATTCCCAACTAGTCTGTACATGGCCAAAAAGCTTCTCAACATACAATGTGATAATTTCACAAAGTATATCGTCTGCCCTAACTGTTGTGCACTTTATGCATATACCAGTGTCATTCATGTTGTTGATGGCACTGAGGTTGCTAAGAAGTGCACAAACATGGTGTATAGTTGTCGTGCAGCTGGCAAATCGGGTAGAAAACAAGGCAAAGTTCATTGCAATGCTACCCTTGTTAAGGAAGTATGTCTTAAGGATGGGAAAATACATTTTTCCCCTTTAAAGTGGCATCATTGAAACTTTGCAGCATTTTCTCTTGCGGCCCAAGTTTTTGGACAAGTGTAACATGTGGCGTCACAGGAATGTTCCTTCCAACTTATTTGGTGATGTGTATGATGGGGAAATTTGGAAGAGCTTTTATGAGCATGGTGGCACTGACTTTCTCTCTCAACCACATCACTTTTGGGGAATGTTAAATGTTGATTGGTTTCAACCTTTTGATCGTTGGAGCGACATATCAGTAGGTGCACTGTACATGGTCCTCATGAACCTCCCACGTGATGAAAGGTTTAAACGAGAGAACTGCTTGCTTGTTGGTATTATCCCATCTCTCTCGAAGGAACCAGAGAGTTTAAACTCCTTCCTCACACCATTAGTCACAGAGTTAAAAGCACTGTGGAATGGCGTGTTGATGGAAGTTCAAGGCTTGTCAGCATCTGTGTCAGTGAAAATGGCTTTGATGTGTGCATCAGCTGATATTCCAGCTGCCAGGAAACTTTGTGGTTTCATGGGTCATGGTGCCACTCAAGGGTGTTCTCACTGTACAAAGCCTCTTTGGTCAAATGGCATTCGTGACTGTGGGCTCCCAAATCTTGTCCAGTGGCCAAGCCGCAACAGGGAAGATCATCTTCGGTGTGCAAGTAAGGCCAGTGCTGCTACTTGTCTCACAAAGAAGAAGCAGGTTGAGAAGTTTTCTGGCTATCGTTACACAGCCCTTCTGGAGTTGCCTTACTTTGAACCCTCCAGAATGAGCGCAATTGACCCAATGCACAATCTCTTTCTTGGGACAGCCAAGAAATTGTTTGGTCACTGGGTCGAGAAAGAGATCTTATCTTCAGCGAATCTCTCAGAGATAAGCTCCAAAATTCAGTCAATCAATGTAACCTCAGAGGTCGGTCGTATTCCCACTAACATAGCTACAAACTATGGACAAATGACTGCAAAGGAATGGAAGAATTGGGTACTTGTATATTCCCTCATTTGTCTGAAGGGCCTCTTGCCAGTGAACCATCTTCGCGCATGGCAGACATTTGTTCCGGCATGCAGACACTACTGTCAACCTTGCATTAGCAATATCAATATAGATATTGCTGGAAGGCTTATGGTAAAATTCTGCAACCAAGTGTCAGAGCTGTATGGTGCTCATTTTCTGACACCCAACATGCATTTACACTGCCATTTGGAAGAGTCTGTTCGTAGCTTTGGTAGTATTTATGGTTTCTGGCTATTTAGCTTTGAGCGATACAATGGAATACTATCTGACTTCTCAACAAACAAAAGGTGTGTAGAGGACCAGCTGATGAGAAAGTTTCTCATGTATTCTGTCTCACATGTTGATGTTGATCCAGAATTTTCACCCCTGTTAGAGAAACTTTTGGATGTTTCATCAAAAGCTGAAGTCTTAGTCTCATCACCAGAAGTTACATTAGCATCAACAATGTCAGTACGTGAAGTTTCCTCCAGTGTTTGGAGTGACATGTCACTTATCACTCTCAAAGATGGGAACACTTCATTCCATAGTCTTGGCAAAGAGCATCTTGACAATTTATGCAAGGTGTATTCTTTCATGTACAGCAAATCCGTTCATTTGGGCATGCTGTCATGTATGTACAGCAGACGCACATCATTGTCTTGGAACAATGAATCTCTTGGCTGTGAGACGAACAACCGTTCTCTTCGGAACAGTCTCATCTATGCGTCATGGGCAGACAGTCACTCATGTTTGTCAAATGTATTGTCTCCTCGCCCAGCAAGGGTGAAGTACTTCATACTTCACAACCTTGAATTACATCCAGGTCAGACAGTTCAACATGTGTTTGCATTTGTTGAATGGTTCAAAGTTTCTGCAAATGACTTAGGCTATCTAAACCCAGTCACTGTTTGGTCAGCCAAATGTCAGAACGATGGGCCTGCCTCATTTCTGCCTGTGCAACGCATTCAGGGTAAATGTGCTTGGCATATGGAAGTGCAGAATTGTCAGAGATTCATTGTTACTTGTCCAGTGCCCAAATCATTCTACTTGTAGATGCATGCCACCCAAATATCCACATCAGTGTGACTAGTCTGGGTGGTT